GCACTTGGAATAGTGAGGATGTTAGACCCACTGGAGTGTAAATTTCCCCTGTTCATTACAAACAGTGCTAAACGTGATATTGGTTTCTTCGCTGAACATATTCAACAGAGTATTTATCTGGGTTTCTATTGCTTTGATATGCATATCTGATCACTAATTAAATATGCAAACCTGATTTTTATTTCCACATTATAAGACACACTATATAACTCACAATGTAATGTATCACAGTATATTTTTCATTAGTACTAAATATCAGACTGGTTGTACAGTAGTTCAGCATTCTACATTATAAAGAAGTTTATTATTTAATAGTAAGCTTTACATTTGATACAGTGCCTTTCACATCAAGAGGATGTCTCAAAGTGTTTCACAGAATATATTATTAAGTCCTATCATTCTGAAGCGCTTCAAGATGCTACCTATGTGAAGGGCACTATGCAAATTGTTGTGGTATATCGCATTTATGATTCTGGTGGTTGGAAAGGGATTTCTTGCTGCTATTTCTAAGAAATGTGGAGTTTTTCTGCTGGTTATCTTGTCTTGCATTCCCTCCTCAGCCAGTCACCCCAAATTAAAATTAATTGTCTGTTTAGCTCATTGTTTGTCAGATGCTGCTGCCCAAATTGGCTACATAACATTCACTTCATTTCTAATTAAACTCATTCTGTAAAGTGCTTCAAGGTATTTGTGAAAGGTGCTATATAAATGTAAATTGTTGTTGTGGCCAGGTTAAAGGAAAATAATACTCTTTTGTGTGAGGGGGCAAAGGGAGGGGGGAAAGAAGCACTTTCAATGTAAGCCACACCCCCATATATATAAATAAATTAGAAAAAAAACACTTTGCTTCCTTTTTTCAAGAGAGATTCTTACAATTCTGGGACGTGTTGCTGGAAACTTGCCACACTGGGTCTCCCGACCAGAGGCAAACCACTCTGCTAATGTGTACAGTGGGGCCGGGTTCCGCGGGTACCTTCTTTATTAAATGTCGGTTGAGCTCTGGGATTTGCATCCAGGATCAGGGAGGATGTCAATGCAGTGAAAGCCGTCTGCTGACAACCCTTCCCATATGTCAGTTGAGCAGCTGTTCTCTGCCTGGGAAACCTGACATGATGAGCCTTCAGTAGACTGCTTGTGACCATTATAATTTGCCAAATTAGAAAGAAGTAAAAGCAAAACTTAGCGCAAGCTCTGTGGGTCACTGAAAAAGCCTGCAGTGCAAATATTTGCAACCCCCAATAATTTCCCCTTAAATGTAACTGATTTCTGGTGTCTACGATTTTCTTTTATCCCAGTAATTCCAGGCACCCTAACATTTGATTTTTTTTGCTCTGAAATCTCTTAAGAGAGTGAGTAAAACTGGAACACAGTTTCACGACCACTAATTGCCTTCCAATACCTTGTGCAAGTGGTCATTCCTCAATTGTGAGGGTCACACTTTCCAGCTGTACAGCGAGCGGGCGAAGGGGACATTGTGAGCAGTTGAGTCCAAATAGTGTGTGACAGCCTGGTACAGTGGGGGCACTCTCGCCTCTGAGTCACAAAGTTGTAGGTTGAAGCCCCATGTTGGGACTTGGAATCGCACAGTCTTAAGATGACACGGCAACAAAGTGTTGTTGGTGGGGGTTGGGGGGGGGGAAGGAGGTTGCATTGTCGAAGGTGCCATCCCTTCGGATGAGTCGTTAAACCTAGGTCTCATCTGCCTGTTTAGGTGGACATGAAAGATCCCATGCCACAATTTGAAAAGAGAGGGGAGTTTCTCCAGGTGTCCTGACCAACAGTCCCCCAATAAAAAAATTGGTCACTCGGCGGTCCATGGCTATTTGTGGGACATTGCCGCGTTCCACTGGCCGCACGTTTTGCTCTTAAAATACAGTCAATCCACTTAACAGTATATCCTGTGAAGCGTTGGAGACATCTCGACAACATGAAGGGCACTAACTATATCAAATGCAAAGATTATTATTATTATTATTAAAAGCATTTTCAATTAAAATTTGAATATATTTCCCCCAGTTCCACTACCTGTCGAACACCAAAGCTGCAAAGTCGTTTCAGTAACTCCCACAAGACCCACAATGTTACACTGGTATTTACAGTGACAGTTTAAGACTACTTGGAAAAGGTGGTTCTTGTTGCTGGCAACACGTCTCACCACAGCAGAAGAAACGAGCACAGCAACGCGCTGTCCCCGTGCAGTGTGTTTCTGATGGTTGGATAAGCGACAACGATCCCATCAGCTTTTTCCACAGTTTTGTTCAGGAAAAATGCACGTTTCGCTAAGTCACCGTTCGATTTCATGACATGGTGAATGCATCGGTGCATTTGCGGCTGTGGGTACACTGAGGAGCTGTGGTCCATCGGTAGAAATCTGAGTGTGTTTGGGGTTGTGGCCAGTGCTCTACTTCTCTTATCCTCCACCTTACAAAAATAGCAAAAATGAGTGGACAGGAGGTAATACTATTAAAGGTGCAATACTCAGGTGCAGCAAAACCGAGGCATGAACACATAGTGGTTTACAAGTGAGCCCCTCTGATGAGATCTAACCACATTCTCTCTCCTTCAAGCCACTGCGATTGCTGTCGATCCAGTAGTTGCCTGAACTAATATCTCATTAACCATCCAAAACATTAGTTTGGCGTATTCATACGAAAGGACTTCACTTGCAATTTGTTTTTAGAATTCGCTTTGCTCCTGCAACGTGTGTGTGTGTGTGTGTGGGTGTGTGTGTGGGGGTGTGTGTGTGGATTAAGGACATTTCAAGTGAATTCGTACAATTGCTGCAAGACTCTCGATCTGGTCGCCTTGATAAATTTTGTGGGGAGATGTGCTTAAATGCTGCCCTTGCAAATACGTATGAAAGCATCAGCGCCTCAAGAACCTCTGGCATGTGCAAAGTTGCTGAGCCTGTTTGTTGTCTGCGGTGAGGGTTTTTTTTTTGCTTTAGAGGGGAGGGAGGGAGGGAGAGGGGGGGGGGGGGGGGGGGTTAGCCGTGGTTGTAATGGCGCATTCTTGTGTTGCTTATGAAGATTCACATGGTAACGGTTGATGTGCATTGTTGTATTTATCTGAATGCAACAGCCGTGTGAGTTTAACGTGAAAGCCCAGGGCGGCGGAGGAGGGATAAACCCGAGCAGATTGCACACTCTGTTTGGGAAGGAGAAAGGGCCTTGTTTCGTTACTTTTGTGGCTGTGGGTTTTGGAGGGGTTGGTGTGGATTTGCCTGGGCTGCGGCTGGTGCAGGTATCTCTCTCCCTCTCCCTCTCCCTCTCTCTCTTTCCCAGACACTCGTCCTCCTCCATTGTTTACACTTGTAACGACCTGGGCGGGTCCGGGCGGGTCCGGGCGGCCGCTGAGTGACAGCTACAAGCTGCAGGGCTCGGTGGCTTGGCCAACCCCCACTGGTTTACCTTCCCCTCCCAACCCATCCCTCCCTCCCCTCCCTCCCTCCCCTGCAACCTGCCCACACAAGGCCAGCGTCCGCAAATTAGCGCATTTTGCAAAATCCAGGTTGTCAGCCTTCCCCAGAAACCCGAAAGAGGAGCCTTCAATTCGCCTCCTCGTTTACACGAATTAACCTTATTCACAACCTCGAGTGTGTTTTTTTTTGTGTGTGTGTGTTTTCTAATGTCCCAGATGCACAATCTATAACTGCCTGTCAATCCCCCTCCCCCCCTCCCCCCGGATAGTTAGTTGGTCAAGTGATCAAATTGATCAAAATCTGCATCGTTTAATAATTTAGCATTTCAGTGTTGCTTTATTAAAGAATGGGCCTGATATTGTTTTGAACCACAGGAGTGTGTTTGTTGCATTCTGTATTTGTTTGGTCTGGCGACTTACATTTTTTTCTTTTTTTTTTGGAAAAATGAGTTGCTTATAATCAACATGAAAGACGGCGCTGAGCCGGAAATTACTTGTTACTTGGTTTTTAAAAAAAAAAGAGTTTGGGGACGTTTGCTGATGATTTGCTGAAATGAAATTTGCAGCTGAAATGTGTATGTTTGAACAAACCAGGCAGACGTTTTATAAATTGCTTCAGGTATTTTAGGAAGGGATTACACAAATGCAAAGCAACAAATCTCTTAAGTTTAGCAAAAATTATCTTTGACATGCAGTGATGGCAAATGCATAAAGTACCATTAATCCTCATCGTCCATCTCCAATGATTCATTCCTCTCTCTCTCTCTCTCTTACTGTAAATTGTAAAGTGTACATCAAGACACACAGACCTTGTTGAAAGCAGGATCCTACCTGTGGGTTCGCTGCTATCGATTTACCATTATGTCTGAAATGTTCTGGAATAAATAGGGATCGTTTCGGGATTATAGATTTGGTGTATGTATTGATGATTGGCCTCCGAATATGATCTGGTTCGACCCACCAAAGGAGGTTCTAATACTATTTCTACCAAGACGTCAACAGAGAGCTAATTCCCTGTGTGCTATTTTTTGCTCCTATGCAGTAATATACATCTGTAGCGTTAAATCAGGGAACGCTGAAAGGCAAAAAAAAAAAAAATGTTTGATTTCACCGAGTCTTTAGCTGGGCACCAGTAAAGTTAATCTCTTTCTAAAGTGGTTCCTTTTTAACCCATAAAGGAGAATGGGCTGTGCAAGTTCTCAGTGCTAAAATATTGCTCTTGGAACCTTATTAAACAGTATGTATGTGGTGTGTGTAAACACACAGCTCAGTGTCCTTTACTAACCCGATTCAGTCAACTTGGAAGATTGGAATATGTGAGTGGGTGAATGTGCTCAACTCCGTGGCGTCTCAGTCAGGTGTCTATGGAGATGTAATTGACTAAGTGTAAGTGTGGTCCATTCACCTGAAAGTACAGTATTCGCAATAGTTTGTTAAAGAGGTGGGTTGCATTAAGGTGGATGGGGGAGAGGGGGCGGGTGGGGGTGGAGGGATGTTACTAAAAAAAAAACAACGCACACAAAAATCGTGGTAACATGCAGAGACATTTACCGTATCCTCTTACTATTTGCTCTTTTTAGACTGGCAGAAAACAGAGGCCCAGAAAAGACGTGAACAGCTTTTGCTGGACGAACTCGTTATCCTGGTAAACAAGCGGGATGCCCTGGTCAGGGATTTGGACGCCCAGGAAAAGCAGTAAGTGTTGTCAGTCCCCTTCGTTACAAACCTACACCGAATTAACGCACCTGTTAATTTTCTCATAATTCATTTTGATTTTTTTCTTGGAAAAAAAAACGTTGCATTTGAAGAAATCCGAGTTGACTGATCTCCCCGGCTCGCCGAATATTATACCTCATTATACCTCCACGTTTCCCTTTGCTTGTTCCAGTAATTACAGTACTAATCGCTGCTAACAGTCTGTGTTTTATGTTCTTTCTTTAAAGGGCCGAGGAGGAGGACGAACATTTGGAACGAACTCTTGAACAAAACAAGGGCAAAATTGTCAAGAAAGAAGATAAATGTGTACTCCAGTGAGCTGCACAAAGACTTTGAACCCCATCTCCCCCCCCTCCCCTCCCACCCACAAACACACAGACGTCATATAGAAAAGCTTTTAACTGTCATATTTTAATAATAATAATAATAGTAATAAACGTATGCGATGGAATTGGGATGATGTGTAACTGTGTAGGGTTGTAAACTGTGTGTGTGATGTTTTATGTCGGCAGGATTTTATATCTCTGCCTTACATCCATGTACTTGGCGGCATTAATTGTTCTAAAGAAATTATGTTTTGTTACAAAGAAAAAGAAAGAGCCAGGAGTGTAATTCTCGGTTTGCATCGCAAAGCAGTGATGATTAAAGGAGGTCTCCCCCCCCCCCCCCCCCCCCCCCCCTCCCACCACCACCACCTCACCCCCATATAGTTTGGAGGAACCCGTTCATCACGAAGAAAACTGTTACAAATGTGGTCAGATTGATGTTTCTTTTATGTAACGCGGGATTTGAGGCTTAATGTGACTTTCAGTCGGTCCTGTGGGACAGATTTGCTTTGGAACCGATTACATACATCCAAGTTTTCAAATACTGTAGCAGGGAAAAAAAAAAGAATGGAAGGAGGACCGATTAACTGCCATCCTCATTTGTTCTCCTCTCCTCCTCCTGGACTGGGAATTTTACACACACACACACACACACAAAAAAAAACCCGAATCATGTATTCATTCAGAACCAGAGCCACGCTTGAATCTACAGGTCCAGGTCGGAAGTGAGACCGACTAACCTGATCGCCTTGGTCTTTAAAACAAAAAAAAAACAACAACAAAAACAAACCACACCGGATTGTGATTTTCATTATTGCTGCTTCATCATTTTTTTTATAAAAAAAAACCATTCTGCAGAAAAAGAATATAAAAAAGGTGGAATGCTGTGGAACCGCTGTAGCGCTGCATTTCATTTCATCGATTTTTTTTTTGTTGTTGTTGTTCTGTGTTGTGTTAGGTCTGGTTTTATTTCATTGAGGAGTTATTGAGATGCGTTGGAGGCGTGAGATCCGGTGAAATCTCAAAAACTTATTTTAATTGGCAGAGGACTGTCGTGTTGTTGTTGTAAATGATGTTCTCTGAAGTTGATTTGAACTTTTTAAAAAGGGCTGATAAAAAAAAAATACTTTCACCAGTTGGTAAACTTGCCTGCCTGGTGTTTTATTAAGGGGTTTATTTATTATGGCAACAACGCAATCCCATTGCTTGAGCTACAGGTATTTTTGCTGAAACATCTTTCCTTTGTTGTGTCTTTAGCTCAGAGATCGCTGTTGTTATTTATACTCTGCAAAGCAACCAATTCCCTTGTCAAGTTGTCGTTATTTTTCCTGCACAAGTCCCGGTGCAGCTGCTGTTTGTGTGGGGAAAAAAAAACACATACACACACACACACACACGCACTTCTCTGTTTTATTTATTCCGGGGTCGTCTACGAATCCTCAATAAAAAAAAAGTGAACGTTCAATGTTTGTTTGATTCACGAAAAAAAAAGTGTTTGGTGTTGGTATTGTTACCTGAATAAGTTTTTTTTNGCACGCTGCTTTTGTGTTGTGCCTGTTACCTTGCACTGTAGATAGTACACACACAAAAACGTGTTCCCAAACTGTTCCCATGCCCAACATTTTACTCCTCCATCCGATCCGTTTTAAGTTTGACTGAAGTAAAGGTACCTGCAATTATTGATGCACAATTTGCTTTGAATGGGACCCATTTTATATCTTATATGTATTAACAATAATTCGTATTCCAAACTGTTTGTGACCTTGATTCCTTGTTGAACCAATAAACTTAAGTTTCAAGAGTTATACATAAGCAATTACATCGGGCTGGTAAAGGTCAGGGTTTCGATTTAATTATAAACAAATACAATCTTTCTGAAATGTCGGCAGATTTACACGGCAGATAAAGCTGAAACCCACTGCTTTTAGCTGCTAATCTCTTGCGGTAAATGGTGCTCTTCCCCCGGACCAGGTTTTGATGTTAACTCGTTCGTGATCACACCAGTCACAGCAATGTATATATATATATATATACACACACACACATATATATATATAAGCACTGATAAATTGCTCAAAATATAAATTCACAAATCTGATTCAAAAAAGAATAATCGTAAATTAATCCCATTCCAGAAAATGTGAGACTAATTTGCAAATAGCACCTGACCAACTAAACCCGACGTGTCCCTTGTCGTTTACATTTTCAGATTCGTTTACTGTACACACTTCTTATCAATCAACCACTGAATAAACATCCAGACAAACTGATTCAACTGTGAAGCATTAAACCTTAAACGTAACACCGCCTTCTTTGTAACGGGCTATTTGGATATATCGATCAGGAATCGATACGTTTTGCGTGAAAACTTACTGAATTTGTAATATTCTTCTCCCCCCCCCCTCCCCTTTTTTTTAAGTCGCGCAGTAAATTGTTATCTTGGGTGTTAAAAAAAATTCTATCCATGTCGCTTGAAAAAAAAAAGCATTCGGATTATTTGAAGTGAGACAAAAAAACTTTTTTTTTTGCCCTTTCAAAAGATGCGCCAATATTCGTGTATTGAGATCGGATGTGAATGAATGTGAAGTCAGAGTGAATAAATCCAGATTAAATAATAGCCACACCACATGGTTACTTGCCATGGGAAGCTGAAATGAAGTAAGACGCCCAACCCCAAAACAAATCACCAACTAACACGATAGCAGTTCGCAAAGTTTTAATATTTTGTTGGCGATAAGCTTCTTAACGCTTAAACAGAACTCGTTCAGTGTTTTTTTTTAGAAGAAAACACGTTTGAGTCCTTTCTATAAACAGTGTACATTCTGCATTGCGGGGAGCGATTTTCAGAATTTATCCCGTGGATAAGATGTAGGTTGCAGTTTGGTTTAAAATCGTGTTCACGTGTAGACTGCAATCTGACATCGAATTTTATCATATACTTCCATTCTGAAATTTACATTTTCAAACCATCCCCTGGTGATGATAGTCACCGCATTAACAATTATAGACGAGTTGGATACAGGGAAATAATTCGTATAATACTGTTGGCCATTCAGTTGGCAATCGTTTTAAACCTGAACTTTGAAAATTATTCCACGCTGAACACATTACCTGAGCAGCACACAGAATATTTCATGGAAGTTAGACTGTGGGTATATAATTGACATACTTGGAGGGTTGTAACATGTACTACATACACCCTTCCAAACGCCCTTGGTAATAACCGTATATATATATATATGTTTGTTTAATTTAGATTAATGTAGGCCATTCATTCCTTAGAGGGAGATTAAGAAGAAACAATTTTCTGGGGAACATCTGTTTGCAATGTGTTCGATGGGGAGCTGACTAATGACACCAGCACTGCTCTCTGGTTAAAGAGTGAAAAATAACTTTTGACAGCTGACGTCCTCTACGGTTCCCCTCCTCTTTAATACAGTACTTTCAAATCCATTCGCTGATCTGCGCTCAGTTTGCGCTGTCCCCCAATATTCCCCACCGTCCGCTGCGCACCTTTGGACCCCACTGTCTGTCTGTCTCCCTTTTTACACGGATGTCATTTCGAAACAAGATCTCGTTTAAATCCATTCCCCCCAAACCCCCTTCAACAAGGATCCTTTTCTATTTGCTGCACAAATAAGTCACATCTTGCAAGCTTGCGCTGTGTTTGATCTGCAAGGTCCCCCCACCCCCCACCCCCCCTCTCAGTCTATCGGTCTCAACAAAACAAAACTGTAACAGGCTGTGTTAACGAGTTATGAAAGGGAAAGATTTCCTCTCCCACTTTTTCCGAAAAATGAAATAAAATTTAGCAGCGTGCAAAAAACCATTCGACGCTTAGATCCCTGTTACCCTCTGGAGCTGCAGGTTGCAGTTTGATCGCGCTGTGGGGTGTAAATATACGGCATTTCCAAACTTAGTGCAATTATTTACCTGCCGCTTCAACAAACTAGGTGTTGGTTTATTTTTTAAAAGACATTCACAAGCGATTTTAATTGGTGGGGGGGGGTGGTGTGGGGGGGGGGGGGGGGGGGGCGGTTAGGTTGATGTAACAAAAAGGTTTCCTGCTGTAAATTATTTCAGAGCAATCTCTAAATTAATATCCATAATAACGCTTGCGTTTCCGATGCGGATTGTAAATGTAACATTTAATTTGCAATGAGCTGTAGTCACGTTTGCAGGCTCTTACCTGTCAGTAACTGGGTGCACACACGGTAACGTGGAACTCCACAACACCCCCCCCCCCCAAAAAAAAAAAAACGCCTTTCTCTGCTGTGTATATATATATATTACATATATATATTTTAAAAAAAACAACAAAGCTCAGAGACGGAGTTTTGCAAAACTTTTTTTTTCGGTGCTTGACTTGCTGTGTTGCAGGAGTTGGTGGAGAGGTTGTGGTTGCGGTTCGAGACCCCCAAAAAAAAGTCTCTGGTGAAATTGTTACATCTGGTGTTGTTTGAAGTGCCTCAGATGTGGCTTTAGGTGTTGTTGTTAATCACCGCGATTTCCAATCCTCTTTTTCACGGAGGGCAAGTCTGTCCCACAGTCCTTGATATGATTCCCTCCTCTGTTAAAAGACAACCAAAAAAAAAAAATCGAGTGTATGCATGTACAGCCTTTGCAGTCTGCAGGAGAATTTATCCAGAGACAGATTTAACATCATCGCCGTTTCCGACCTGCAACATTTTTCAATCCCCCCCCCCCACCCCCACCCCCTCACATATTGCACTTATTTCTTGCCTCAGCATCGTTCAGCATCGTTCTGACTCCTGCCACACAATCTTCTGGTTGGCTTTTTTTTGGGGTGGGGGGGGGGGGGTGGAAACGGGAAAAAAAAAGAAAAAGAAAAAACCTTTGGAAGGAGCGAGAGACAAACTTTTTTTTGGACTATGCATTCCAGGGTTTGAGCTCCGGCTTTAAGGGGGGGGGGGGGGGGGGACAAAAAAAAACCGCCTGCAATTTCGGATTAGACAAAATACTCTGATTACAAAGGTTAGTGCTATTTGATACCTTGATACTTAACCCGGGCCTTGATCGGCTCATCTTAAACAGAGGGTCCTCAGAATGGGGGGGGGGGGGGGGGGAATACCCCGACCAGTAAATCAGTGGCTATGCTAAGACGATAGATTCACTCAAACACTCAGTTGTACTTCGCCACCTGAATTAGCATTATGTTTCGTGTGTTTGCATTTGGATTCATATCCAAACTTTTTTTTATTTCAAACAAGAAAAATCCGCATAAAATACGATTTTAAGGGAAGAGGGACAGACCGTTTCCTTAAAATCTGGTGCAATAAATAAGGTGGGGGTGTGGGGTGTGTGTGTGGGGGGGGGGGGGGGTGGGGAGTGTGATGTGGAATAAGCTTGGGTGATAAATGCATTCTGCTTTACTGTTGTCGTATCAAAAATACTGTATAGAAGAATCTGGTGAATGATAACTGAAACGGAACGACCCCAATGCATAATGTGCATATGGACAATAACAAGAATGACCCAAAATGAGTGTAACTGCGCGCATAATCCATCAGCAGTATCTTATGTGGTAACTAACGAGCGTGTATTTCCGCCCCTCCCCACCCCGTTAAGAAATTAACAATTCTTTGGCATGTTTATAGCAAATCACCAATGTTAATCCCCCCCAACAATTCCTAACTACTATTTCGAAAAGGTCGGGGGAGTTTTTTTTTTTTTTTTTTTTTTTTGGCCATGTTTCTGGCGACAAAGGTTTTTTTTTTAATGATTATTATCATGCAGATCCTCCTGCTTTCAGCCCCCAGAGAGAGAAAAAAAAATGATGTCCCTTGAAGTTTTCACTTTTCAAACACAGCGGGGAAAAAAAGCTCTCTTTTCTCTCTCTCTCTCTCTCTCTCTCTCTCCTCCTTCTCCTCCTCCTCCACTCCCCTCCCCACTCCCCTCACCCCCCTTCACCCCCTCACCCACCCCCTCACCCCCTTCAAAATAAAACATCTTGAGAAAAAGTAGCATTATTTTTTGCTGAATTGTGATGTGTGAGAGAGAGAGTGAGAGAGAGAGAGAGAGAGAAGAGAAAAAAAAAGGTGTTCGTGTGGATGACTTTTCCGAACTGGAGGGAAAGTCTTGGAAAGGACGTCGTCTCTCTGATGAGCTGTTCCACACACACACACACACAGACACACACACACACACATATATATATATATAAAGTATATAAAGTTTTTTTTTGGAGGGGAAGGGGGTGTGTGGAAAAAAAAATGTAATTTCGGAAAGTGAGTGAGTGAATAAGTGAAGGGAGTGAGTGAGCGAACATTTTTCTTTGAACATTTTGGGGTCGCTTTCACCCCCCCCTCCCCCCCTCCCCCTCCTCCCCCTCACCCCCACCACCCGCTTCAATTAAAATGAGTTGATTTTCTGAGCAGAGCCACAAAAGGGCGACCAAAGCCCTTATTCCCGACCCTCAGAACTCGCCGAACACTTTTTCTCAAAAGAAAACCGGTTCAGGGACACAGTGCGCGACTTCCAGGGATGTTCTGTTCCCCTGTTTTATTCGTTCGGTTCAACAACAAAAAAAAAACAGGAGAAAAGGGGGGAAAAAAGTCACACTTCAGAAAAAAAAATACTTCTTTTTTTTTTTGGGGGGGGGTTCCCAGCGACATTGTCTGATTCATTTATTTTCCACCTATCGGCCTATTCTCCCCCTTCTCTCTCTCTCTCTCTCTCTCTCACACACACACACACACACTTTTTTTTCAGAGATTTCCATTAAGGAGAGTCTCATTAAACTTTACTCTGACTATTCTGAAATGTAATTCTAAGTGGGGATTAGGGGCCGTCATCAATATTCATGAGAACGTACAATTTCAAACAAAAATACCCCTCTCTCCCTTCCCCTCCTCTCCTCTCCTCTCCCCCCCCACACCCCCACACCCACCCCACCCCCACAATAAAATCTGAACGCACAAAATATTTCCAGCCATTATGTTGTCGCGACTCTTGTTGTTGTTGTTGTCTTCTTTTTAAAAAAAAGAAAATTAAAAAGAAAAGCATCGAAATTCTACAACGTGTTTAAATGCTGTCGCTGTCCCCAACCGGTGGGAGGTTGTGGGGCCCTATCGTCTGCGTTTGGAAACGGGTCAGAGAGGGACAGAGATAGTTATATATATATATATATATGTGTGTGTGTGAGTGTGTGTGTAAAAAAAAGTAACTTTGGCTTTAACGTCAGGAGAGGTTTGGAAGTGCAGACGGGACCAGAGGGGTTGAGCATCACTTGTTTGACCGCAGATCAGCAGAAGAGTCGTGACTGTCAGAGGATCACCGGTGAGTGTTGCTCCCCCCCCACACCCCCCCACCCCCCCCCCCCCACCCCAAAGCCCTGCAAACTTCAAGCAGCTGTTCCAGGTCCCGCGCGCTTTCCTTCCACACGTTTCTCAGCGCTTCGGTAAACGGGTCGTCGGCAATTGCACACGTAAAAGGGGGACGTGTACAGAGAATAATTTCCCATTGATGTTTTCCTGAATTTGGGCAAACATTTGACCCCCTCCTCCTCCTCCTCCTCCCCCCCCCCCCCCACCCCGAGCAAATCGGGTCGCCGGTGGTGGGAGCGGCAGAAACTGCCCTCCGGTCTCTCTATTCGTTCAAAGTCTCTCGAATTGCAACCATTTGCACGTCGGCGGCGACGACGGTTTTGCAAAAAAAAAAAGCAGGAAACCATTTGGGGCGCTTTAATATGAGTGGTGTTGTGGATGGATTACAGTGCGCAGAGCGGCGGCTCCGCGGCTCCGCGGCTCCGGGGAGACATTGCCAGTAGTCGCGCCCCTTTTTCCTTCGGCGGCGGCTCCTCCCGACGCGAGGAGAGGGAGTGAGTGAGAGTGCGGGCGGCGTCACCGCGGCTCCCGTCCTGGGTGGCGGCGGCGGGGTAGCGCTCCGCCTGGAAAAGTAGTGCGCCGCGCGCGGGCGCGGGCGCGAGCGCGGGTCCCCCGCCCGCGTCACCCGGCAACGGGGCTGCCAGTCCGGGGCAGGCGGCGGCGCTGATTGGCCGCGGGCCGCGGCGCGTCAGAGGCGGCTCCGCTCCGCGCGGCTCGCGCTCACATAGAGAAGGCCGAGCGGCGGCGGCGAGGGATCAATCTCCATCAGTCTCCATTTACATCGCCAGCAGTCACTCACACACACAGGTACACACTCACTCACTCACCACTCACTCACACACTCACACGCAGCCGCCGCTTTTTTTTTCCTTTCTCTCTCTTTTGCTTTCCTCCTCAACTTTATATAAACCTTACTTTATCTCTTCGCCCCTCTCTCTCTCTCTGTCTCTCTCTCTCCCCCTCCCTCCTGTCTGCCTCCCCCACCCCCCCCCCCCACACACACACACTCCCCCCCCCACTACCCCCCCCCCCCCCCGCCTCACACCAGAGCCACACTTCAAAACTCACATCCAGTTTATTCTTTCGAAAGAAAAAGTTTGAGATTATATATATATATATGTGTGTGTGTGTGCGCATATATATATGTATATGTGTGTCTATGTTGCAGGGGGAGGGGAGGGGAGGGGAGGCACAGATAGGAGAAGGGAGGCAATTCATTACTTTTAGTTGTTAGTCGTAATCCGATTTTGTGTCATGTTTTGTAGGCGAGAGAAGTGTCCTCTGTATCCAGTTGTTGCTGAGTTTGTTTGTGGTCCCCAAACTGTCCAGGTAAGTGTGAGCGTACAGCCGTGTTTTATTATATACATAGGAGTCTGCTCTGGAGCCATCTAACAGTGCACTTTATTTTTTGACATATGTGTATATCTATATATTCGTAACTCAAGAGATGTTTGGGACTTCTCACATATAATTATAAATATAATATATATAGAGAGAGAGAGAAAAAGAGTAACTGAAATTAATTTCTGCGGCATTTAAAAGAAATAAAAGTTACCGCTGTTACAATATGATTCCTGTGATTTGTAAAACCGAAGTCGTGTTTACGTTACTGCGCAAAATAGCATTTCAGCCGACGCTGTTTTCGTTTCTTTTTTTTTTAAAAAAAAACCCTATGGACGGTGTAAATGTGCTTAATTTCTCACGGAAATTTACAACTGTGTGGCGTCCAAGGGTCGAATCAAAAAAAAAACCTTGAATCCACTTACCGGCTAATTGGAGAGGCGTGTTTGGGTTTTTTTTGTTAATTTATATTGCTGATAAGACTTCCCTTTAAATTGTCTCCCCCGAGGTTCAATCTAAATTGTAATTGACTTAATTTGCACACAGCCATCGCCTTTTAAATGAGAGCACGGGTTGTATCTGGGTCCCGCGGAGGTGAAAATTTGGTTCAGGACACTGTTGATCGAGAATAACTGCAGCTTTGGCTCTGGGTTTATTTTCTCAGCCACTTTCTATCACGAGGCTATTTTTTGAGTGTTTTGTTTAAAGATTCGTATTTATTTACGAGTGCACCTCCTCGTCGCCGGTTTCGATGTTTTTTTGTTTTTTATTTTAAAATACAAATGATGTATTTTTGTGGAGGGGAGAAAAATCTTTTTTTTTTTGTGTGTGTGTGGCGTTTTTGGTTGTCTGTAATATTGTAAATGTCGACGTTTACGCAACAGGTTTGTGGTACGTGTGAAAGGAAAACGGTTAACACGATATATATATATATATATATATATATATATATTAGTAAACTGTAGTTGTGTGTTAATTATCCCGACGGCTTACAAACATCAAAACTTGACTTGGTTTATTTTGTGTGAAATAAAAGTGACAGACGTCGAAATGAACTTTACTCAACAGCCTAAACTGAAATCCTGTGACTGAGTATATCTGTACGCGGGTTATGTCCAAACTAGTGTTCATTTTTTAAAAAAAAAAGATTCAAATGTTGAATAAATACTAAAATTAAAAAAATGAACGAGGAAGGACGCAGAGGATAAATGGTCCAGAATACAGTTGTTAACGTTAGTATGTACAGGTTTCCAAAATTGCAAAGTGCAGGACTCACATACTGTACACAGCGTTTAGCTCCAGTTCAGCGAGTTGTTGTTTATAAAGGTTTAAGACTCGCAAGTCACAGTTGAGGTCCGGGATTAAAGGGATTTGTATTATGTTCTTTTGCGATGCACTTGTTGCGCCTTTTCGTCCAGCATTTCGGGGATGTGTGGAGGGGCAGAGGAAATCTTCCTGTTTCATTCTTTTTTCAAAAGTTGCCCCATCGCGTCGCTTTCATAGCAATAATAACGATGCGGATTTAGGAAGTGTGTGAGAAGCGAGAGAAAGAGGCATTTCTCGATGCGACAAAAAAAAATATTCTCTATCGAGGTTAGAAACCAATATCTTTTTTTTGAAAAAAAAATGCTCGGAACGAACGAGTGAGTCTCGGATGTAATTGAAGAACGCGCGTCCGTCAGATTATCTCATTAGTTCATCAGGACATCTCCAATAATGAATTCTCAATCCTGTGAATGGTGCCTTTTCAATCGCCAGACGGAAAACCGGACTCAGATTGTACAACACACAGACACACACAGACACACACAGACACACACAGACACACACACACACACACACACATCTTCACATCCACAAATGTCTCTCATATTGGCGGTGATGGTGGGACTTGGAATTGGAAGTCCAGACCTCTGCCTCTACCCTCTCTGTCACACTTAACTCCCAACAAGGATTTCCCTGTCTCTCTCCCTCTCTCTCTCTCTCTCTCTCTTGCAAGATCTTAATTGTTTAATCCCTGCCAGGCCAGAGAAACAACTCATCTGTTTTTTTTAAAGTACAATCTGCCCATCTGAAGAGCACAGGATTTGTGTGGGTGGGTTTTGGTGTGTGCGTGTGTGTGTGGTTGGGTCCCGGCTCTAATCGTCTTGAGAAGATTTTCAAGAGTCATTTTTTTTCCCCCTCCCATTGTTTTTGAAACTAGTTTGTGAGTGAGTTTTTTTTAAAAAAAAAAACACCCCACGAGTTCCTTACACTGCAGAAATTGGATGTGCAACTGGTCTGACTGAGATTTGGCCTCGTGTGCGCTCGTCTGACAACATTCTTCAACTGGTAACTGAACATTGACAGCTTTTTATGATGGACAGAGCTGTGTAATTATACAGGACATGACAATTCGGCCATTTTGCTCGACTCGCAATTTTTTTTTGAATTGGATACTTTAGAAATTTGCAATAAGATGGTTTTTTTTTAAACAAACCTCATTCAAAAAAAAAGGACCGCATTTAATGTCAACGTATGTTTTTCCCTCTAATACCAAATAACTCGTGTAACTTTAAAGTGCTGGGGGGAGACTCAATGTGTGTGTGTGTGTATATATATATATAGATAGATATGTGTGTATATATATTTTTTAAAAAGAGTTGAAGTTTCATCTATGTCCCAGTACCGAATTTAGTTTTTTTTTAACTACATCTTGTATATTGTGTGAACGAAAGCCTCGGCAATAGTTACACACTTGGTTTGAAGAATAGTTTAAACCTGTCTGAATAATCCTGGTTCTGTTGGGAATAAGACCGCAACGTTTAACACCGGATCGAGTTCCTTCGGGTCCGAATTGACGGCGTTTCTTCCCTTCGCTGTCACGGTAGAGAGAGAGAGTGGTTCTGCAACAACGCCACGAATTAAAACTAAAAGGCCGAATTATACTCCACCGCGTTATTACCGCTTTCCACTCAACTCTGATCTCTTCCCTCCTTCCCCACCAGTGTCTGCCGAGGCCGCCAAAGGCTGGATTTGGATTTGGATAAAGCCTGAAATTTTCAAGAGCAGAAAACGCACATCATTTCCTCGGGGTTTTTTTTTGTGTGGTGAAGATTTGGGCGACACTCGGCGAAGCTTTTAGCATGATGTCATACCTCAAACAACCTCCCTACGGCATGAACGGGCTCAGCCTGACAGCGCCTGGCATGGACCTCCTGCACCCCTCAGTGGGCTACCCGGGTAAGCAGACTCCAGGTTGGCCTCGGGCCACCCGAGCAACGTTAGCGCGTTTTGCTATCTAACTCGAGATAGCAAAATGTCCTTCATCGAAGCAAACTTCATACCTCTCTCTCTCTTTTTTTTTAAAAAAAAAGAGCTTACTTTAGCAAAGTGCCTCGATGGTTAGTGCCGTTTTTGGAGTTAAGCTCTAACTCGAAATAGCAAAATGTTCCACGCTGAAGCAAGTTTATTCATTCGATCCCAAACTAACTCCGCTGTAATTTCGTGCAGACGGTATTCAGACATTTATTCCTTTCTTTTTACACAATGTGATGCTGCTGTGGACTTGCATCCGAGCACTGCTCTGTTCATGATATACTGGACTTGTGGTAATAATAATATAATAACAATAATCGTTGCATTTGATTTAGTGCATAACACGTCATTGAGACGTCTCAAAGCGCTTCACAGCATATACTGTAAAGTGAACTAACTGTATTTTGTGGGCGAAAGTATCGAAGACGGTAAAATAGCGAGAATATTCCTGGTGACTTTTTTTAAAACAAACTAATTTGAGGGGAGAGTGGGGGTTGGGGTGGAGGGGGGGGAGACTACGGCTACATAGTATTTATATTTGTGTCTATCTCCCTTTCTGACTACTTTCAGCGACTCCCAGGAAGCAAAGGAGAGAGCGAACCACTTTCACCCGATCCCAGCTGGACGTGTTGGAGTCGCTATTTGCAAAAACCCGGTATCCAGATATCTTCATGAGGGAAGAAGTCGCTTTGAAAATCAATCTGCCGGAATCCAGAGTGCAGGTATGTTTTTTTAATTACCCTAAGTGCTACCAATCTGCCCCCCCCCCCCCCCCCCCCCCCCGGCCATCCTTGCGGCAGTGACACAGTGTCTGTCTGAGTGATGCAGGACTTGCTGTCCAGACTGGGACAGTGAGATGCTCGCATTAACCACTGACCCACATCTACCAAAAGAGCAATGCCCGGCGCCTCACTCACGCAGGAAATAACTTTATCACTCGGAATGAAGTTGTATTTTTCTGGGTGGGAAGGGCAGGGTGTGTGGGGGGTTTTTTTTAAAAAAAAAATTCGCGTGAAATATTTTGAAGAAAAAAAAAGTGGAACTTTTTTTTGCAGTTGCTGGTTGAGTGCTGGGAGCTGCGAAGGGGTGGGGGGGTGTGTGTGTGTGTGTGTGTGGGGGGGGGGGGGAGGGGGGGGGATCACCGCGCCCCCTAGTGGAGCCGCAACAGGTCGAGTCTGTTCCTTTTCCACAGTCCTGGCTCAATCCTTTAACGGTGTTTTGCACCAGTCAGTCTTTGCTGGGCAATTCACTGTTTGTTGCCCAAGACTGGAGGAAGGACGCTGTGATCGCAATGCAACGCATCATGTTCCATCACAAGCTGCTGTACAAGCAGCCGATCTTTTAGTGCCGATTAAAATACATTTGCAACTACAGTAATAACACTTCAGTTCATCCCCACGAGCAACGCGGCCAATGTGCAACCCTACAAACACGTAAAATTGGGTAACCCCGCCTGAATTTATGGCGTGTGAAATAGTTGGCCTCCTGTTTGATTTCTAGGCTGCTTTTCCCCCTCTCTGTATAGACTTTTTTTTGAGAAAAAAATGCAATCATTCGCTGGTGCCGTGCAAAAAAAAAAAGCATAGTCCGGGTTTTCCCTGTATCTGATTTGCAAATCTCTGCACCCATGTTGCCACTGTATATATGTTTTTGAGCGGAAGAAAAAAATGTGAATTAATTCAATTTAGACCGCGCGCACTAATGGAATTAATTTCCAGGTCACACTCAGTATTTGGGCAGACACTCACTTTCTAAAATAAATATCACGCCGATTTAAATTTAATACAGATTAGCACGTGGGGTAAACAAGTGAACCGTCGGCAGATGAGCAAATGTGTTTTGGGATAACGCGGTTTGATCAATACACAAGTAGCTGTATTTGAGGTCAGCGGATAAACATCTGATGTAATGAAACACATGGACTGGAGCTCCACGACAATAACCCCAGAAAACATATTGCAAGACTTTGCTGTCGAACCAGGGACATTGGGAAAATGAAATTAACGGATGAGATTTCGTAACGTGGTCATTGCATCGATGATGAGAAATGATGTTAGATTTGAAATGTGCATTGGGCGAAAAAAAAACGATTCCCCCCCCCCACCCCCCCTCCTTCCCTCTGGTTAACGAGGGGAAAAGTGGGATCCATTGTTTGTGATGCATTTCATTTATATACTGTACTTCCTGATCTCGTCGCTCTTCTCTTGGGAAAACTTCTTGCGATATTGGAAGCTTTACTGCCAACATTTTGCCTCGCGTTGGTGCGATTATAGGCGAATTTCAAATGGACATTTTTTTTTGTTTGTGTGAATAGCAGTTGATCGCTTTTTGCCTCTCAATCCGTTATGGGTTTTTTTTTAATATTAAAAAAATTAATTAAAAAAGGGGTTCCAGCCTCAGCTTTAATGTCGGGTTCGAGTACTGCACAAAAGTGAAATCGTACTGAACGAAACGCATTTTTATTTCTTATATTTTTTTTAAATGGGTGTTGGTGGGGGTGGTGGGGGGGGGGAGAACTTATCCTCAAAGTGTAGCCACAGCGAATATCAGGGTCACTTATTTGCCGGACTTAATTTTGGGGGATGGTGAGGGGTGTGGAGTGTCAGTGCGCAATCCAACAATTTATTGCAAACGAAAGGCGCGTTTTAGCCCGAGATCAATGTGACTTCCATAACACGGGGGGGGGGGGGGGGGGGGGGGGGGGGAGAGAGAGAGAGAGAGAGGGAGACGTGACATTGCACTTTGCAAACTTATAACTGCAATGCGGGGGGGAGGGGGAGCAGTTTCATTCACTTCTCACTCACTCGAGCAGCAAATAACTTTGTGACTCGGAATGCAGTTGTATTTTCCGGGTGGGAGGGCGGGGTGTGACTGACTGGCGGCGGTGGTGGTGGTTGTGGTGGGGGGGGAGTGGGGGGAAGAAGACTTTATGTGCCCCAATTATTTTGTGTGTTGTATGTTGTGTTTGCGGTTTGCAGGTGTGGTTCAAGAACCGCCGAGCCAAATGCCGCCAACAGCAGCAGCAGCAGAGCGGAGGCAACGCCAAAGCCCGACCCACCAAGAAGAAGTCCTCGCCGGCCCGGGAGAGCAGCGGCTCGGAGAGCAGCGGCCAGTTCACACCGCCCGCCGTCTCCTCCTCCTCCTCCTCCGGCTCCTCCAACTCCTCCAGCGGCGCCAACTCCAACTCCAACTCCACCTCCGCCAGCAACAGCGCCGGCCTCAGCGCCCCCGCCTCCATCTGGAGCCCGGCTTCCATCTCCCCCGGAGCGGCGGTCGGGGAGCCCCTGCCCCCCAGCGCCTCCTGCATGCAACGCTGCTCGTCGGCCACCGCCTCCTCCAGCCCCTACCCGATGGCCTACAGCCAAGCGGCCGGCTACAGCCAGGGCTACCCGGCGTCCGCCTCCTCCTACTTCGGCGGCGTGGACTGCGGCTCCTACCTGGCGCCCATGCACTCTCACCACCCGCACCAGCTGTCGGCTCACGGCGCCGCCGCTCTCAGCAGCCCCATGAGCGGGTCCTCGCTGTCCGGCCACCACCACCACCACCACCACCACCTGAGCCAGAGCGCCGCGGCTCACCATCACCACCACCACCACCACCACCCTCACCAGGGCTACACGGGAGCAGCAGGTCTGGCCTTCAACTCGCCCGACTGCCTGGATTACAAAGAGCAAACCACCTCTTGGAAACTCAACTTCAACACCACGGACTGCTTGGATTACAAGGACCAGACCCCGCCGTCCTGGAAGTTTCAAGTCTTGTGAGATTGGAGCCGCTGCCATCCATCTCTGCAGAGTGCGCAGTGACTACTCCTGCGGGCGGCCACTTTTTAAATGAATTTGAAAATTTACGCACGGGGGGAAGGGGCGGGGGGGGGGGTTTGGTCGGGGTTTGGTCGGGGTTTTGGTGGGGTTGGCGGGGGTGGGGGGGTGGGCTGAAGAAGAGAAGGAAAACACACACACACATACACACAACACACACAAAAATCCCCAAGAAGCTGTCGTGAAGCGGTCCTCTCTCCTCTCCTCTCAGCTGTGATGGCAACCCCGAGTCTTGAAACTTCACAGACTTGTACTGTTTTTATAAAGACTCTGATTTTAGCCCCAAATCTCCTCTTTTTACCCCTCTCCCCCCCCCCCCCCTCCCCTCTCTCTCTCTCTCCCCTCTGTCTCTTCGGAGGCAATCTTAGGTGTGACAATCAAGGTCGTGTCTTTTTTTTTCCCACCAAAAAAAAACACAGCAGCAGAAGTTGGATATTGAGGCTGGTGGGTTGGTTGGTTGGTTGGTTGGTGGGTGTATGTGTTGTGGACTGTTTCTAAAGTGTCTATAAAAGTAGAGACGGCATCCAATTCCATTCAATATTGGTTGGATCCCGGGACACAGAGCTCCACAGTGCTGCCCAGAACAGCAACTCTTTACAGAACTCCCTCCCTCCTTCCCCATTAAAAAAAAATGTGTTCAACTCGACGTTGAGGCGACTTCTGCATCGAATCCGCTGCGAAATCTCTAACCAACACGCGAGCTCCGTTCGTTACACGCACAGAAACTCGTCTCCCTCTCTTCCTTTCGTAAAGACTATACATATAATAACGGGGTTCGGGTGCACTGACCTTTTTTTTTAAAAAAACAACAAAATATTTTAGTTGTTGATTGAATTCGTCCAATTTTAAAAGCATTTTAGAGGAGAGAGAGAGGGAGAGAAAGAGGGGAGAACAAAACCCAGAAATAAAACGAATTCTACCCGGATTAATTTTCGTTGCCAAGTGTGTTATAAGAGTGCGGTAAAGCCACGTTTTATATATATATATATATAAAAAGGTGATGAATGTCGTTGTCATACCCCTCCCCCCCCCCCCCCGAAGGTATTTAGATCTAATCCTCGGTATAGTAAACTGAAGCATATTGTCTGTGTACAGTAGTATTGTAGTGGAATACCATATTTCAACTAGAGAGTAGCACTTTTGCACATTTGCGTGTGTAAAAAAAACCTATGGCCGCGCTCTGATATTTTTTTGTCGCTCGCTTAATTAAAAAAAATGAAATTATTTTGCGGATTAGATCTTTTACTATCAAATACAGTGTTTTGAAAGTTATTTAAGGCACCGCCGTTATATACATCAATATAATTAAATTCAATTAAGGATAAAACCCAGTGTCTGCGTGCAATTGCTGTCTCATTTGAGATTGTTTCACTGCTGTGCGCAATTTGCCCACAAAATACGGTCAATTAACAGTTACACCATTTTTCTGTGAAGCGCTTCGAGACGTCTCAACGATGGGATAGTGCACTGTATCAAATGCAAACATTACTATTGTTATGTTACGTTTTAATAGACGGTGAGAGTGAAGAAAGCTTTCACATTTTTTGGGGGGTACACGGATTTCTGACCTTTTCCAGTGTGTGTGTGGGTGGGGGGGGGGGGGGGGGGTGAAACAGTTCAGGCTTTTTTTTCCAAAAGTTGTCAGGATGTGACAGTTTGAAGGACAACTGAGGGGTTTGGTCGCAGTTTAATTTCCATCGATTCCCGAACGGATTCCGAAAGCGTTGGCATTTGCAGACTTCGGTCGCTTTTGGCTGTTTTGCATTTTCACAAATCTTGGCATCTTAATTCTGTGTTTTTTTTTAAAACTTTCCGTAGCGAACACGGTTTTTACTAATCTGCCAGTGAGACAGACAGGAGCCAAATGTCTCTCAACAACTGAAAAGATTATATAACGTTGTGGCTATAGTAAGGGTGTAGGGTGGGGTGGGGGGGCAGTTTCTCGTATGCAAATCCAGGCCACTAAACTAAACTACTGCTCAGTAATAATCGAAAATGTTTTGCCTCATTGGGGTTGGGATGCAGTTAGAATAACTTCAATGACCGATTTTCTTTTTTATACCTATATATATATATACAGTTTATATAAACGTCCACCTGGAATAAAGCTGAGGTTTTGATCATTACTTGTTAAGAATGTGACCTGTCTTTGGGTTACCCTTTCCCCAGGAAGGGGTTTCCTTTTAGTTTAATATATATATATTTTTTAAAACAACTTGCTCTGGCAAGATGCCGCTCCCCTGAGCATCCCGACTGACTCTCTAGCTTCGATTCCAGGTAAATCCCGGTGCAGGCAATTTTGCCATTGGGAAAACCAGGTTTGGACATCTGTGTACTCTCTCTCTCTCTCTCTCTCTCCCCCCCCCCCCCCCCCCCCCCCAGCGCACAGCAAAACACACACAAACGTCAATTTGGGGGCGATGTTTCCTTTGCTATCTTTGCATTCGTAAGAGTTGGCTTTAACAACATACCGTTTTCCATCAGAGGTGAATCTTTCTCGCAGAATATATATATTTTTTTTAATCCTAGAACTGCAACAAGCAAACCAGCAGAGGCGCATTACAGCAAACTAGTCAACTTCTCCCTAAAAACGACAAAATGAGCCAAGAATAAAGTGGTGTGAGGGTGGGAGGCAGGACCAGGCAAGGTGTATCATTTGGAACATTTTTTTTTAAACGGGGGGGGGGGGGGAAGTTAAAAAAAGATTCGTATGAAAGCTTTCTGATGAGCTCCTACAGCAAACTGACCTGATATCCTTTTAATTTGCAAAACACCGTTCTAGGTTACAAGAGGGGGGGGACTATGAAAGAAAGAAATGAGTGCGTGGTTGCTCCTGATCAAAACGATGGTGACTAACGAATACTTTAACGGATTAAAAACCGCACCGCCTGGTCCAAAAGTAATCGCAATAATAACTTGTTCCTGTGTTACTGAAGGACGAATCCAGGGATGGCCTTTTCCCCCATTGATTTTTTTTATTGTAGAGGTGGGAAGGTGATGCACAGGTAAAGGAATCTCGGTTTGCCATAGAGAGGGACGTTTAAATAAAATGTGGGACTCGCAGCGTGGGGACAAGTCTGGATGAGGTCTCTGTTGCAGTCTTGTTTTAATCGGATTCCCTAATAATGCGAATGGTACGAAATGAGCACCGGATTTCAGTTCTGTTGATCTGTACCTCTGTTCGGATGATGTATTTCTGCAATGTGGAGGGTGGGGGTCCTAAATATATTTGGAATCCTTATCAGAAATACACCGATTAATACCCCTGAATGAATTTTACCTTCTCATTGGGCGTCTCAAACTCTTGAGTTGCTTGTTATTTCGTTACAAAATCGTCAAATTACTATTTCTAAAATGACCAAACACTTTCAGGATCTATTTAGGAATCTAATTGGTTGCGACGTTAATGATTACCCTTTTCTTTCTTTTTTTTTTGACTACCACCCGTTTCTTTTTCCTCCTTCCTCGTACTTTAATCTTTTCCCCTGGTCCAGGGATATGTGACTTGCTTCAGCCTAAATTGACTCTGTAATTTATAAACATCGATTTAATAATTTATAACTAACTACAAATGATCAAAGCAAAGGATGTGTTTAGGAACAAAAACAAAACAGCAGATCAAATAATTTATATTTGTGTAGATTTTTCACCCACGAAACACACAGTCAATCCACTTCACAATATGTAGTATATTCTGTGAAGCGCATTGAGATATCTCAATGACATGATAAAGCACAGTATCAAATGCAAGGATTGTTATTTTTATTAATTTCCCACCAGTCATCACACAGATTTCGTTAGAATATTATGTTTGCTATTTGCACAGTGTTTTACATCAGGGAAATATAGATGCCAGAACAATTTATTCCTTGTGGCTGTCTAATTTTGAAAATCCTTTTAGCTGATTACTGACCTACATTAAACGGCACCAGTTCGGATCCCTATAACAATTAGACTGATAAATTGTTTTTTGAGGGGCAAATGTTTGGTCCTTTATTTGCAATGGTGTGTGTTTGGTATTTACATCGTTTGCTGCAAAATACTGTGCCATTGAGTGTTTAGAGAGTAGTGTTGTTTCATCATTTGACATTATCAGCAATTGTAGTATCCAACACTTTTATGTTGTGCTCGATTGGGGGAGTCGGGGCAGGAGCACTATTTTTGTGTCTTGGGCAGATGGAAGTTCGCCCAACAGTGAGCTGTTTGGGAATATTTTTCCACATCAAAAGTCTGCATTATTAGTTGTAATTCTGAATCCATGCAAATTTCCAGAGGAATGCTATTATAGACAAACAGGTGCTGTGAGACCTTTTACTTCGTAGTGTTTTGGAGTCCTATTGGGTGGTGGTTATCATGCTTACCTCGCAGGTGAATGGACCCGGGTTTGATTCCTGGGTGGGGCGAACCCTCAGGGAAATTTCCTTACACCACATGCCTGTGTTTACCTTGCAGTAAATAGAAACCCGGTTGATTGGCGAGATCGCTTTCCAAGTGCAATAATCCCTCAAAAAAAATGGTCACTCTATCCCCGACTGTTTGTGGGACACCGCTGTGCACAATTGGCTGCTGAGTTTCACCCACAAATATACTTTACAATATACTCTGAAGCACTTCGAGACGTCCAAACAACAGGATAAGGCGCTATATCAAATGCAAGGATTTATTGCTGAACCTATCTTGTGGGGCTAAGTGTCGAGCAGGAACTGAATTTGAAGCACAGTTTTTCACAAGGGAAACCAAGGCATTGGTTCCTTTTCAATTCTTTGGGGCATCTTTATTCTTAAATGGGTTCATTCTAATACTGGCTTACAAGCAGAAAACAAATGAGGAAAATACCAATTTGCTCCATTTAACGGATTATAAGTGTCAGATTGTGATGTTTATCCTCTGTTAATTACAGCAATTCAGATTGTTTGTTTTATTTGCTGCTTATTATTGGTTAG